TTTTACCATTCATATTTTTTTTGAACTATATTTTAATTTTAGTTCTTAATTGAAAATAAAAATACGGTAGTGATATAACTTACATTAAGTGCTTTTATTTCATTTGGTGCTATTTGTGTTGTATATTTATAATTTTTTCCAAGTTTATTCTTAATATTTTATTTTTTTGTCAGTTCTACCTCCAACATATAAAATACAAACACATGCATACATGTATTTATATGCAGTTTCTATATATATATATATATATATATATATATATATATATATATATATAGTTTAATTTAATAATAATTTTTAATTAATGAATAATGCATATCTATTTTCATATGATTTTCTTATTTTAAAATTTAAAAACGTACTCTTATTTATTTTAACTTCTTCTTTTTTTTTTTAAAATAAAATAAAATTTCATTTCGGTTTTCTTTTGTAAAAGATTTTAGCTTTTCATTTGTATCTTATTTGATGTGGAATATATGTATCATTGGCTTATTGTAAACAAAACATTTTTATTTAATTTATATATTATTGTATCGATGTTAAAATCTAATTATTATAGAAGAAAATATAAGAAGAACTAATTGTACGTATTTGTTAAAAGTTTTTTTTTTTTTTTTTTTTTTTTTTGAAACACAATACCTACTATGTTCAATGCATTTTTTAAAAATTATGCTAGATAATGATATTTATTATCATAAAAAAATAAAAGTTTATATTATAATATTTAAAAGATTTATGTGTTTCTTTATTTATTTAATTATTTGGATCATTTAATTTTACTAGCTTTTTTGTTGTTCTTTGGACATTATTCAATCCCACATAATGCGTATTTACAGCTAGTCCCTTCCATAAATAGCATTGTTATTTTTTGTAATGGTGTCGGAGACAAATTTCTTATATTTATAAGAGATTTTTTTTAACCTTGCGCCAAAAATGATAAATATGTAATTGACCCAAAATTTTAAGTTAAAGATTGCATAACTCGAGAAAAAAAAGACTCACACATCTTCTAGGTAGGATTTACTTTTTTTTTTTTTTTGATATCATGAAATTATATTCTTATTAACCCGAAATGTCTTAAGTTAAATATTTCATCAAACGTGTGAGTAAATTTTCCCCCTTTTTAAATTTTCATTTTTTTTTTAATTTTTCTGATTACGTACCAAATCTCTTCTTAAGTGGCAAACGAGCTTTCTTTATGGAAAAAAAAAATCGGGATAACCCGTGTTCAATTTCCACTAGTGACGATTTCTCCTGAGCAATCTCCCGTGCTTCTCGAAGCGAGCGGAGATTAATCAAGTAGATCCGAATGAACCATAAGACGGATGGAGAAAGACCCGGAACTCTTTTTTTTTTTTTTTTTTTTTTTAAGAAGAGTAAAGTCTGAATATTTATCAAAACCCAATAATTTATAAGTAACTTTATTGGTTAGTGCCATGCCATGATTCCATGAGTATTTGAGAGTTGCAACCCGACTAAGAAAACAATGTTGGTGCGATTAGTCGCCAAAGCTTCTAAGCTAAGTGCATCAATAATACCACTTTACGGTTTCTAAAGCTATTAACACAAAAAATTCTTTGAGTGTTAGGCGTTGTTAATGACTAGTTAACACGTCACATAGAATATTAATAACCAGCTCTCAAAAGGGTAGCTGAGTGATGATGAGTACGATATAATTTTCATATTAAAATGTCACAAGTTTAATTTTTGTCAATATTTTTTTGATTGGGTACGTCATATATTGGTCATGTTTGGTAAAATAATTAGTCTATCAACAAATTTTGACTTATTTGACCATTATTAGCTGTTTGACTTGATTAAACAATCAATATGAGTGTTTGATTAATTAGCTTTTTGTAACAACTTATTGCTCCAAAATACTAAAATTTAAAAAAAAAAAACTGCTCAAAATAGTTTTTCCGATAAGCTTTTTAAGAAAGTCATTTTGGATGTAATCAGATATCAACTATCAGCTATGAGCTAACAACTAATTTACCAAACACTTTTTTACAATCAACTAATGCTATCAACCAGTCAAACTTACTAACCCAATTAGCTAACAACTATCCGCTAATATCTATTTACCAAATGCCCCATTATATATATTTTTTAAGACACTTGTTTAACTTTTGCTATTAATTGGGGAGCCGCAAATTACGGGCTTAATTCCATCTCAATGCATGTGCTAAGAACGAATTAATTCTTATTCAATACTTTTTTTAATTGTTAACTTTTTTTTTTTCAATAAAATTTGCGGATTTAATTCCATCTCAATGCATGTGCTAAGAATGAATTAATTCTTATTCAATAATTATTTTAATTGGTAACTATTTTTTTTTTCAATAAAATTTATGACCAACGGCCGGTTAGATTAATGAATATTTTGGATATACCATAAATTCTCCTTCTCTAATCTATTCAATTTATTATTTATTAGTCGAACCAAATTATCAAGGTATTTATAAGAATCGAATTCGTATCCATTTAGGTATAAGAATTATACTCTATACAAAATCTTTTGTTTTATTTGGTTTTTCTTTTCTTTTCTTTCTTTGTCCTATGAATCATCTTTCTACTTTTTGTTTTTGTTTTTTGTTTTTCTTTGTTTTGTTTCTTTTTTATTTTTTTAAAATTATATTTTTATATATGTTATAAAGACTAAGGTTTGCGCGTAAGAAAGAATGGTCGAAAATTTTTGTTCGATTACAGACAGCTTGTTTCCTTTGCGTAGCGGTCTACTTCTCTAGCTACCCATATATTAGCTGTTATATTATGGACTTTGATAAAGATGCATGGAATGGAATGCTCTACTTTAATTTGAATTATTATTATTATTATTATTATTATTATTATTATTATTATTATTATTATTATTATTATTATTATTATTATTATTATTATTATTATTATTATTATTATTATTATTTCATTGACAAGTTGGTATTAGACCAATTGTTAAATATTGACTATCATATAGCAACCAAAAAAAAAAAAAACTTATGCGACCGTTGCTAACATTCTCTTAGTCGAGCTCATTATACATGGTGTTTTTAAAGCGATTTATCACTTATGTATGGTTTGTGTGCTATTATGTATGAGTATCGTTTATTCAGTGTAAATCATCAGGTAGTGGACACACATTTTTCTCGTCAACTAAAAAAATGAAACCTCAAGTGCGAGCTATTTTAATTTAATTTTCAAAAAATAGAAATTAAATGTATTAAAATTTGATAGTTACACTATAAATTAAAGGAATTAATTCTTGCATAAATAATATAAAAATAACACATTAGTTAAATAATTTTTAGTGAGATGAATAAATAAACAAAGAAACGGCGTAAGCCTGAAGGTCAAAGGGGGAAAGGAATAACCATTTTGGACTTACCAAAAAAATATAGGAAAGACCCAACTTCAAACCTGCCTATTATAAGCTAGTCTTCAATACTATACATGTGAAGTTAGAATTCTTTATAAACTACAGTATTCAATAATAGGAAACAAAGATTGAGTTAAATAGTTTATGGGATAATAAATTCACACTAATCTAAATAAATTATTTTGATCTAGTTCAAACACCTTATGCTTAAGGGTTTAGGTTAACCGTTATGTTGAATTATTGTTAACAATTTATGCTTATTTTATTTTTACTTGATTTATATTTTTAATATATTGAATTGTTATTAGCTATAGAGTATTTCTATATAATTATAATATTATTAATTATAACAAATTATTGGGGCCTTGATTTAACTAATAGGTGAACATTCATCTTCTTAGAGAAGAATACAATGAACTAATTGAAGGACCACAAAAAATATTTTTAAAAATTATTTAATTTGGGACAGCATTATGTTTATATTATAATGCAGACTATAGATAATATAATTTTTATAAATATAAATATAAATATAAATATAATACAAGTAGTTTTCGTATGTTAAGACAAGTGGAAACTTGGTTGAACTTGCTAAGATATAGGCCCATATTCCTTTGTCACCATTGGAGCAACCAAACCAAATATTAATTAAATTTACAAATGATTAGTCATTAGAGATAGCTAAGAATACTTTTATTTTTAAGGGAATAAAGGCACCAAATAAATATATATATAAAAAAAACAAATAAAAAAAATGAAGACAGCTAAGTATGAAGTATCCTTACCTGACCAGATTATGAGTCCTCTTTCCAGCCAACAACTCCTTGTAACCTTAACATTGATTATTTAATTTCATTCCCCACCGAAAACGTTTTTTAAAATAAATAAATAAGTATGGCGCGTCTAATATCAATTTCTTCTCCCAAAAAAGTTGAATTCCACCAAACACTTTGTGCTCACATGACATGTAGTGACTAGTGACCTCTCCGATGTGGAAGGTCATGAGATGGAGTCTCAGTGGAGGCGTTGTTGACTCTTTGTGCTTTATTAGGTTGAGAAACTATGTTTGAACATATACTATAATGTAATAGAGTCAGTAGCATTTAAAAAAAAAATTGAAATTCCCAATGGGCCCCTTTGAGAGGATATAAATCACGGTGGTTCAACAAACATGTCAAATGCTAGTGTGCACGAGGAATCTATCACTTTGGGCTTTGGGCATAATATCACACTGTCGCAGACAGGCCAAATGCCAGTGTGCACAAGGAATCTGTCACTTTAGGCTTTGGCCATAATTCCTCTGTCAAATATCAGTGCGCACAAGGAATCTGTCACTTTAGACTTTGGGCATAATCCTACACTGTCGCAGCCGATGTTCAAACATTGGCCCGTACAAGCGTCTAATATCAATTTATTTTAATTAAAAGTTGAAATTAATAATGACATTATACATTCTTTACTTATAAGAAAAAACTAAATAGGCCATTTAAGTCGATCAATTTATGCAATTGACTCTTAAATAAAGAAAGTTCCATCGAAACTCCTTAAATTGGTAAAAAAAAAAAAAAAAAAAAAATTATTGAAGTCCTAACCTGACATATTAAGTAGGTTATCACATATTTGGTGTTGATTAAACTTTTATGTTTGTTATTGTTTTAATGTGGCGATGATATGACAACCAATGTAACTTAGCTCCTTTATACAACCATGGTTGAATGATGAGGGGCGGCTTATGAGGATTATTTGAGCATCTTTTCTTATTTATATATATAAAAAAAATAGTACTTTTAATCTTTAATAAGTTGTAGAAAATATGTAAATTTAGTTTCTAATTGCATGAGACAAGTTTAACTGTTAATTACTTATAATAGTGACTAATTTTGTCATTCAGATTATCAAAATAGCACTTGCAAATTTGTCATGAATTAAAAAAATAAAATTATATTATATCGGAATAATATAACATTTGATATAAAAAGTTGGATTCATGTACATTAATGGATATTGATTATTAAAATTTATTCTATTTCCGTGTGCTTCAACCACCTGTCTGCAAGTCAATGTTTATCATGATTGCCAATCATACGATTTGTCTAAAGAGAAATATAGAAAAAAAAAAGTATAGGATTATCTATGAACAATATAATTTAAACGTTTTCATATATTTTATTTTATTTGTAGCACTAATATATATATATATATATATATATATATATATATATATATATATATATATATGGATCAGTTCACGTGCGAAGAATCTCTCAGGAGGAAGATGAGGTGAGATATGAGCTGTTGATCAAATCTAGATCAACGGCTCAAATCAATAAATGGTTTTTAAAAAAATACATTTCCTACCAACATGCATACAAATGACCAACGGTCTCATCAAACTAATGTACCTTAAGTTATAAAACTACGCACCTTAAGTTTTAAACTGATGCACCTTGAACTATAAAAGTGACGCACCTTAAGCTTTAAATATATGCACCTTAAGCTATAAAACTACACACCTTAATCTTAAAATTTAAGCACCTTAAGTTTTAAACTAATGCACCTTAAATTAGAAAAGTGACGCATCTTAAATTTTAAATATACACACCTTAAACTATAAAACTACTAATCTTAACTTTTGAACCTATTCAAAATTACCATAATATCATTGCATTTAATATTTTTTTTTCCAATCTGGACTGTTGATTTTGGCTAGATCAGGAGCTGAGTTTAAACCCATCTTTCACCTGCAACTTATTATCGCACTTGATCATATATATATATATATATATATATATATATATAGCTTTTTACCAAAAGAAGAGCATTAAATTAACATAAATTGCCAAATACTTTGTGCTTTTGTAGTTTGATAAAATCACTATTATCATTCCAAACGGAATATTACAGGTTCGTGTCTCATTCAAATTCAAGTTTTAACATATTATATATAACAATTAATATAGATATGTTAGATTTTAGTTATAAAAAAATTTATATTAAAAATTATTCATGCACCAAAAGTCCGGACAAATTATACCATAGACGGTAAATCATTAAAAGTATTTATTTTTAATATACCAAATGTTCACTTTTATTTAATATATTAAAAATGAACATACAATATACTAAATTACTAATATTAAATTTTTAAAAAATAAATATTTAGTACACTAAATATGAATATGCATATTAGTGGGGCACAATATAATAACATAAAAGTCCGTGTTCCGGTGCAATTAAGCTTCAATGGAAAAATGGAAAGTAAAATAAAGAGAAATATAGTAATCAAAATCTCATCCGCTTTTTATGATTTTTAATATTACGTTGTCTTTTACTTTTTTTTTTTTTTTTTTTTTTTTTGAATAACGTCATAATACTATAAGGTAATGCAATAGTTTCATATTTTTAAAAAATTTTTTTTTAGAAAAGAACATATATCAAGATGTAGATATAGCATATGGCAATTTAACATTTTCTTTAACGATTTATACTATTTAAAACTATATAGGTCTATAATTAATTTCGTATTCATAAAATTTTAATTTTAATTCAAACAAAACACTCATACGAAAAAGTTAATAGTAACTCGCGTAGGGCTGTTAACGAACCGAACATAAACGAACGAAGGTTGTCCTTATTCGTTTGTTAAGAATTTTGGGGTGTTTGCGTTTGTGTTCGTTTATTAAGGTTTTTAAAAACCCTGTTCGTGTTCGTTTGTTAAACGTTCATTAGTGTTTGTTAACGTTAACGCGTTCACGAACATGTTGCTTTACGTTCATGAACACGTTCGTGAACCTTTAATAACCAAACACCTGCACATGTTCATAATCACAATTCGTTCGTGAACAAGAAATAAGTTATGTTCATGTTCGCGAACATTATTAAACGAACACTAAATGAGCTAGCTTGTTCACGAACATTATTAAACGAACACAAACGAGCTTGTTCACGAATATTATTAAAAGAACACAACGAGTTTGTTCACGAACATTATTAAACGAACACAAACGAGCTTGTTCACGATCTCTTAGCAAACGAGCATACAACTGTTCAAGCTCTGTTCGTTCATTAACCGAGCTCTAATTTTTGTTTGTTAATGGTTCCTTTATCTTAACAAACGAACATAAACGAATGCTTACCGAATACGAATATGAGTAATTTGTCGAAAGCTCTGTTCGCTAACGCCTCTAACCTCGCGACCATCTGGGGATGACAATGCGTCCTAAATCAACATGGATCTGCCTAGACATGACCCATGTACAATATAATATTTGTGTTGGGCTGACATAACTCATATACGGGCTAATCAAATGCAGTCTACAAGATTTATGTGGTGTTTGATTGAATGGAAAATGAATTTCTTGGAACTGAAATTCTTATAATTTGAGAAAAAAGTATTTTATATTATTTGGTTCATGGGAGAATATTTTTCCATTGAAATTTGAATTAATATTTTTCTAATAAAATTTGAATTCTTCAAATTTGGGGTGAAAATAAGTTCATTACTCCTCATTCATTATTTCAATTCCAAAGTCCTTGTGGAAAGAATTATTCAACATGGTGAGACAAAAATACATTTATATATCATTGTTAATTATTATTGTGTATGAACATATTAGTTTTTATACACATTATTCCTTGAGTTAATATTCTCACGAACCAAACAATATAATTAATATTTCGAGTAATTTTTTTTTTCATGAAATTTAAATTATATTTCTCAACTTTTTTTTTTCACGAACTAAAGGGTGGTTAGTGATGAAATTATAAGTAATATTATAGAACCGTATAATTATGTATTAAAATGATCCAACAAGTTTCATATTTATATGATATTACAGGACCTTTGATTGGAATGAAGGAATTAGGGGGAAAAAGAATTGTAATTCCATGGAAAAAGAATAAAGTGAAAATTTAAATTATATTTTTTTGTAGGAAGAAATAGAATGATTGGAAATTGAAAGGAAAAAAGTGTATAAAAACTAAAATCTCCATGTATAATAATATAATAATCATAAATAGTGGAGTAGAAAATAGAATTAGAGTTTACAAAAATTTAATTTGGGTAAACAATGCCTACGTTCCGACTGTTGGAATGATACTTAGAATATGCAAACCAAAGTGAAAGTGATTATATGATTTGACACACTTATAAATAATTAAACAAATTTAAGTTTTTGGTTAGCCTCTAACTTGGTTTGATTGGGAGAATATGCGAAAATAATCAAAACTATGATGTGATGTGAGACGAAAATCAACATAAATTGGCACAAGCCAGCTTTTAGTCATGTTGTGACAACATGATATAAGGAGAGACTTAAGGAATTTATATATCAATTAATATAATCTAGAAATCGTTATTGTTGGTTCATTTTAAATTTAAATATGTCATTCATAACATATTCTGTTTCTGCTAAGTGTCACGAGGAAAAACCATTCTTGATTTTGGTTAATGACAGCTTGAGAAGACCGAGTTGGGTCAAACCAAATATGATCATATGAGGTTGACTCCACTAAGGATGAAATTAAAGTCAAATGAATCCAATATTCAAATTAACTATCCAATTTAATGCTGAGCAAGAAAAGGATCGTGTCGAAGCTATATTGCTTCAATTTATTTCATTTTGCGTTTGGAGTAAGTTTATGAGGTTCAAGATATAGTCCAAAAAAATTGAGAAATCTAGATTGTAAAAAAAAAAAATGATTGTGTCCAGCTTCTTAACACGTATAGCTAATGAATATAAACAATTTGATCATCATTTTGTTTCCATCATTGAGAAATTTTTAAGTGTACAAATTATATGACATTTTATTTTGATCACTCTCAATTACGACTATGTTTTTAAGTCTTTGTCTAGTAGAACCTAACATTTTCTACATCTAGATTTAGATGGTATCTGTTAGGAACAAGTGTATTAGATAGATTTTGACGATACCAAGTAAGTTAGAAATTTTATTCTCCAATTATTTTTCATTTCTTAGACGCAATGATTTTTCATTGTAAATCCAAAAGGCTCACTTAAGGAATGAACTTTATTGATTCGCAAGTAAACTTAATTCGAAAAGTAGCCTAAGGATATTTAGTTTCGAAAGGCTGTGAACAGTAATTTGAAAGGTCAATCTTCGAGAAGTTAGAGATCGAAAAGTTGAAGAGCCAAAGAGTTGAAGTCTTGAAGACCAAAGAGTTGAAGATCAGAAGGGTAAATGGCCGTATAGTGGAAGGGCTAACCTTATCTGAATAAATGTTGTTCCCAATAAGTCTTGAGAAACTAAAAAAGTAAAAAACAACCGTCTCTTTCCACTCAATAGTTTCAACTCTCAAGTATTCAAGTCTCAAAGCATCATCTGATTTCATCTCTCTAATTCTCTCAACACTCAGTCGGCGTGGTCGCGTGGGTGACGCCGAACAGAAGCGACCGGCGACTAACGGACGGAGGTTCAGAAGTCGCGACGCGAAAAAAGAAACAGAAGATTGAGACGGATTGGCCAGCCGGCTGCGAGTCGATTCTGACCTTTCTCAACGCGACTAAGAGCTATCTAGGCGCGATTTTTGCAATATTGAGTATAACTCAAGAATCGAAGATACAATTTTTCTTATGTATTCAATTGTAATCCAAACACTTTACAATCGCACTGTTTGGATTACAAACATCATATATGTGTGTATGTATGCCATGAGAAGCTGGATCAAATGAGTGTCAGAGCGGGCCTTCAATTAAAGAAGCAACTAACAAATTAGGTTGAAATGGGCCCAAATGTATTGTACATGGCAAATTATGCCGTGGCAAGGTGGACACAGTTGTAAAACTATTCATAATTATGAATATATAGTTCTATAATTATGAACATAGTTATGAACATATAGTTCTGTAATTATAAATATAGAGATTCAATAATTGTGAATATGAAGTTCAAAAATTATGAATATATAGCTTTATAATTATGAACATATAGTTCAGTAATTATGAACATAGAGTTCTGTAATTGTGAACATAGAGTTCACTAATTATGAATATAAAGTTCAAAAATTATGAATATATAACTTTATAATTATGAACATATAGTTTAGTAATTATAGATATAGAACCGTGTCCACCTTGTAAGATGGACATAGGGATGGCAATTCTACCCGCACCCAACGGGTTACCCGCATCCCCGCCCCAATGGGTAATAAAATACCCGCATAATTTGAGTAATGGATGCGGGTATGGGGGAAAAGTTTTAAACCCGCGCGGGTATGGGGGTGGGTGGACATAGGGATGTCAATTCTACCCGCACCCAACGGGTTACCCGCATCCCCGCCCCAATGGGTAATAAAATACCCGCATAATTTGGGTAATGGATGCGGGTATGGGGGAAAAGTTTTAAACCCGCGCGGGTATGGGGGCAGGTGCGGGGAGAGGTATCCTGCCCTTATATATATATATATATATATATGTGTGTGTGTGTGTGTGTGTGTGTGTGTGTGTGTGTGTGTGTGTGTGTGTTATTATATTTATGTCAATGTCAATATCAAAGTATTATTTTATTTATTTAATCTGTTAGATCTGATCTCTAGTCTCTACTTCAGTTGGTAGTTATTTGGTGAAGACTTTAATGCACTAATATTATAAATTGTAGTAATAAAATTTTTATTAGATGTAAGTTTCATATTATTAATGAGACTAAGGTTACATGTAAAATTTTCATGGGTATTCCCCGCACCCGCAAAATTCCCACGGAGACGGGTATGGGAAGAAATTTCATGACCCACGCGGGTGCGGGTATGGGAAGTGAGGTGGGATTGCGGGGGCGGGATTACGGGCCGGGGGCGGGGATATATCCCTCGCCCCTGCCCCGCCTTATTGCCATCTATCCCCGCCCCCGCCCCGCCTCATTGCCATTCTTAGATGGACACGATTCCACAGCATAACGATTGTATTGTAGTGTGTACAATAGCAAAGTAAATATGCCCATTTTTTAGAGATAGACAAAAACAATGTGAATTTAATTTGTAGTCCTCAAAATTTTAATTTACAAACTCACATTTTGATCCTTAAGTTTCAATACTTCACTATTTAATTTTACCAACTAGCAAGGTGAAACGCACCGGGTTAAAATAAATGCATGTTGTCCAACATTCTTTTTAGTTGCTGCGAAAATAATGCAATTGAAGCATCTATTTATTTCAATCTCAATTGCTACCGGACCTATCCATCACCCCATCACCAGAGAATGGTGTGTTTCTCCTTCTAAGTTCTAACCCATCTCTCTAATGATAAAAGGAGATTAGCCTACAATAACTCCAGCCAAGTTGGTCTAACTGTTAAATTTGTAATTACAAGATTTTATGGTGTGTTTGGAAACCTGAAAAATGAGTTCTGAAAATCATTTTCCAAGTTTCCATTGTTTGGATGTGCCTGGAAAATCAAGTCAACGAAAATCATTTTCCATTGACTTTGGAAAATAGGCTTGTTTTGGAGGAATGATTTTCCCTTTTTTTTTTGAGAAGTCATTTTCCAACTTTTACACCAAAATCACACCACCACCAACATCATCAACACCATACCACCACCACCTCACTACCACCAACACCACCACTATACCACCGCAACCACCGCCACCACACCACCACCAACACCATACCACCGCAACCACTACCACCATCAACACCATACCACCACCACCGCTGCCACCACCGTACCACCGCAACCATCGTCACCGCCACCGCCACCACCACCACCACCATACCACCGTCGTTGCCACCACCACCACATCACCACCACCAGTTATTATTATTATTATTATTATTATTATTATTATTATTATTATTATTATATAACAAATAACACCACTACCATTACACCACCACCACCATAATATTTTTGATATATTATTAGTTATTTTTTTATTATATTTAAAATTTAAAATTATTATTATATTATTATACATGTTGTAATTTTCTAAATAAAATAATTAAAATGTTTAATTATACAATTCTACTCATTTTTCAGAAAATGAATGAAACACACAAAAACAGTTTTCCAGAATGCAACCAAACACTGGAAAGGAAAATGTTTTCCGGACCCTTAAGTTCGATTCTCAACTGAAGTGACCTATTAGCCTTCTTGGTTTTGAACTGGCCTAGTGTTGCTTTACCAATTAAAGTCACAACTAAAATTTACACAATACACACCTTCAAATAGTGATTGCAGTTATCCCTCATCACCCAAACTCGAAACAAAGAAGGGATTAACATAACATTAAAACTTCAGATCAGAGGGGAACTAAGCACAAAAGTAGACAACATGCCAAGCCATCTGTGTCTATATGTTGCTCATCCACAAGTTTATATATATATAGGCTGTCTATTCGGGCAGAAGTTTATATATATATATATATATATATATATATATAGGCTGTCTATTCGGACAGTTCAATTAGTTACAGGGTGAAATTTGAAAACAACAATATATATATATGGACGAAGTGAGGGTGTGGATTACAAGATCGAGATTGGGTTTAAAATTAAATTAAACGGACGACATAGATTTGAGAGAAAATTTGCAAAACTCAATTGCATCATCAATTGACAGGAAAACTGATTCCTTTCCAATAATTTCTATGAACTTTGATAACATCAGCTTCTCCATCACTCCCAATCTCGGATTTATCAAAATCATCTAAAAGTAAGTAATTCCATATAATATTTTAAGTATTGTGAGATTATTATTAAAAAAAAAAAAGAAATAATGAAGATGGTGAAGTACGTACCTTAATCTCTTTTGCTAGTAAACTCTTTCTAATTTCAACTAGTGTTTCAATACCCGTTACATCAATTGAGTTAATAGCTGTATCATGCAAAATTCAATCAACAAATAATAATAATAATAATAATAATAATAATAATAATAATAATAATAATAATAATAATAATTTGTACCTCCAAAGTCCAGCAGTAAGAATTCAACCTCTGCCCCTTTAGAATTCGAAATTTTTTGTTCATCTCTGATCCACCTTAAAATTCTGATCCAATCAAAACCATACAATTAACAAAGAAAAATCAAATTCTTGAAGAAAAAGGGAACAAAAATGGGGTTTTATGGTGCTGCAGGTAAACTGCATTAAGAAGACCCTATGCGAGAGGGTGTTGGCTAGAAAAGAACTCGTGACAATTAGATACGAGAGTAATGTCCTATCCACTCAATTGCTCCTTCAAAGCAAATAAGCACTTTATAGTTATACAAAAACATCAATAGGTGGTAGATTGTGGACAAAGAAGCAAGACCGAGAGTCCGAGACTAGACAACTGCAGTACACTGCAGTTGTCTAGTCTTGAGAATCGGACACCAGACACTGATATCATTGAGTCACCATGTACTCCTCTATTATAGTTGGATCAAGGTGTGGGATTTTTGGATGGGACGAGGGATTTCGTTTTTTGTGGGCAAAACAACAGTAAAAAACAAAAGTGAAATTAATTAATTAAATTACCTTTCCCTAATGTAATTGGCATTTGCAAAGTATATTGGAGAACCAAGCTGCAAGATCAAAATCCCTGGAAATCCAGTTGCACCTGGATACTGTTCAATGTCACAATATATTCCACTCTCTACCATGCTCCCAAGCTTGCATGAAGGAGGCCTAGCTACATGCAAAAGGGCCCTCACTAAAGCCAGAGATATCTGCATATATATAATAATCATCACCATATATCATATATACAATAATGACAGAAGAATAATTGGATAATTATAATATCGGGAAAATTAATTATATTGTTGTATACCGATAACACAAGCCCATAGGTCATGCTAATGAAGATGACACCAAACACCCCCACCATGCAAATCAAGAAATCAAACTTGTCAGTCTGGTAGAGATGGTAGAACTTTTTGTACTTAATTAGGCCCAGCATGGCTGATGCAATAATGGCGGACAGCGCCACCAGGGGTGTGTAGCTAAAGATCGGGGCCAAGAACAGGAGCGTTAGACACATGCAGATCGACATTACAACGTTGGACATGGCGGTCCTGCATCCCGCGTTGTAGTTCACCGCAGTTTTCGAGAACGGACCTGATGAAAATAACTCAAAGATGTGAAGGAGCCAATGATGTTCATATTATTTTAATGTTTTTTTTTTTTTGAGTGATACTGACTCTGTTACAATGTAGTATCTGTTCATATTGTTTTAATGGTAAGATTATTGATTACAATACCTGTGGTTAAGTAGCAAGATGTGAAGGAGCCAATGATGTTCATGAGTCCAAAGGCAATCATCTCCTTATTGCCATCAATTTGTTCATTTTGCATCACTGCAAAACTCCTCCCAATTGCAATTCCTTCCTGTATGTATGTACATATACATACATAAAAGAGATTGCATATAATTCCAATAAAGAGAATTGAAGAACAATAATTGATAAAGTTGTTTGTACATACAGCTAGAGCAATCATGGCTGTGATGGTTCCAGCTTTAATTGGTGCGTAAATGTATTTGGGATCAAAGTTCAATCTTTGGATGGAGAGAGGGTTTATTCCTTTCTTTAGATCTCCCACCTGCATCCAATAAAGCTTATAATAAGTTTGAACGTCAAACTTAAAGGCCTCTCAACGCTTTTGCCCTAAAAACGGGTGAAAGTGATAAATTGCAGGATGGGCCTCTATAGACTTTCAAAAGCTTATGTATACGTACTAGTGTCAAGGCCAAATCCATACCTCCCGTTTTTTGTTCTTGATAGGATTAGAACCTTGCACGACTGCTAGCAGAGCAAATCTTATATATAATAACCAATTCAATGTAATCATAGGATCAGATCTTTTGTTAAGATTAAAGATTCGAGTCCTATGAAAAACTTGTGGTGATATATTGTCACTTTTGACGGGTCGTTAGTGATAGGTTGAAGAATTTCTTGAAACCTCGAAGTGGTCGGAAAGACTATTTCCAGTTAAAGCCTTAAGTTTTTTACCAGACATTTTTGGATGGTAAAAAATCCTGAATTTTCCAGCTATGCAATTTGAGAGAGCTTTAATTTCTTTTAAATAAGCTAATGTTAATCTAGCAAGGTTAAATATTGACAATAAAAATGTAAAATAGCAAAGTAAAATTAGAGGGATTTACAGTTTGGATGCCAAGTTTATCTGCATGAGCAAAGTAAGCAAAGAGGCAGCCAACAATGACACACACCATAGGAGCTATGGCTGAAACCCAAAACAATCTTGGAATCTTCTTTTTCTGAAAATTCACAAATTTATTTATTTTTATTTTCATTATAAAACTTATATATATATATATATATATATATATATATATATACATATATAAATCTTTTCAAGTGTTGAAGGAACACTTACTACATATCTAGTGGACTGTAGGAAAGCAAGGAAGACAACACCAATCACAATGGCCCTCCAATTACACTGCACAAATAAGCAAACTCCATGGATTAAATTAAACTAAAGAAAATAATAAAATATTACTCGAACAAAACTTTTAGGCAATTCTGATGTATTTGATCACTATTAGCTGTTTGACTTAGTTAAACAAATAATATGAGTGTTTGATTAATTAGCTTTTTGTAAAAACTTATTCCTTCAAAATGCTAAAAAAAACAAAACTTTTAGGCAATTCTGACGTATTTGATCACTATTAGCTGTTTGACTTAGTTAAACAAATAATATGAGTGTTTGATTAATTAGCTTTTTGTAAAAACTTATTCATTCAAAACGCTAAAATTCAAAAAGCTGCTCAAAGTAGCTTTTTTGACAAGCTTTTTGAGAAAGTCAACTAACAATTAATTTACCAAACACTTTTCTACAATCAGTTAATGTTATCAACTAGTCAAATCTTTTAGCCCAATTAACCCAATCATCTAACAGCTGTTTGCCAAACACCTCAGCTCCTTAGTATCAAATCTTATATCACATGACATAACTTTAGCTAATTAATTCATACCACGATATACTACTATATGGATAAATAATCAATATAAAAAATTGAAACAGACCTCATTTTTATTGGCAAAAATTGAGCGTATAACAGAAATCAAATCAGTTTTGTGTGTGAAATGCTTCAAGCCAAGGATTCCTTTCAGCTGCTGCAAACATATGAGTACTGCTGTCCCTCCCATGAAACCAGTGATTGTTGAATGCGATAGAAAATCCACCAATATTCCTAACCTATACAATAATAATAATAATAATAATAATAATAATAATAATAATAATAATAATTTAAGAAAAACCCATAATATACTTTTTTAAATAATGAAAGTATGCAATAGAGAATGATGGTGATGCTATTATTAAGGTTTTCAAGATAATCAAAGATGTGGTGTATTGACAAGAATTGATCAAGTTGAAGCTATTGATTGATTTGGATGGTTTCTTTCCGTGCTTTTCTCTTTTTTATTTGTGCAAAGAAGTGGTTTTATGAACTATATATCTGTTCGGTAGAGGCTTAGAAGGTCAAGTCCAACATTCTCCTATCGAAATTTGGTGTTTATAAGGTTACAAAGTTCGACGCTCACCTATTGATTCTCTTTGGTTTGAACTAGTTAGTTATGAACAACTTAGACTTGTTAGCATCATTATGGCCTTCTGTTAGGGGTGACAAGACAGGATCCCATCATACAGTGGTTGCAGATTTTCTCCAATCTCCACTCAGAAAAAATATGGCGCTTACTATTATATGCCAAGTTTTGGTTTTCAAAAATAAAAATATGCCAAAGTATAAAGAAATAAAATTACTCATTCACTACTAACTACTCCCTCCGTCCCTAATTGATTGTCTCATTTACTTTTTGCACAAGTTTTAATACAACATAACATATGTTACTAACTTTTCAATTTTGCCCCTCAAAAGTAGGTGTTATTTGTACAAAGTACAATTGTACTTATCTCTAGAAATTTGAAAGTTAAAAGGGTATATTGAGAAATGTAAAGTGATAGTTATGTTTAATTTTAGAAAGATGACACTATTTTGGAACAAATTAAAAAGGAAAATAAAACAGGTAAAATGGGAAGGATGGAGTATAATTTAGACGTAATGGTAAACCGTACCCTTGATTTTGAAAATATTATTAATGATCCTCTTTCTTCTTTTCTCATCATTAACTATTTTTTATATATATATATATAATTAACAACAACTAATGGTAGAGTGAATACATAAATAAAACCTTGTATGTGCATTAAGTTTACATATATAGTTACCTCAACAAACCCATGACGGTTTGCATCAAACCAGAGACAAGGGTGGCTGTGAACACCAAATCCACATAAAGTTCCAAGTTGTCTTGTGGTTTCACTACTTCTTCAATGGTGGCAGCTATGAGCAACGACGAAGCCGCCACCGTACCCACCGCAAGATGCTTTGAACTTCCAAACACTGCGTAAATCAATGGCGGCACAAAACTCGAATCTGCATTCAATTCGTAGTGCAAGTGTATGATTAAGTCAGTAACTGATTTAGTCAATTTAGGTATTCAATTTTGTCAATTATTTGTCTATAATAATTGCCCATAAATGCCTACGCAAAACAGTTCTCACACAACTCTAGTTGTGACAGAATATAGTACTTACAAGTTACAACATCTAATAATGGGGACAGTGGGACCCACTGGTCCACCCCATTTGTGACAGAATATAGTACTTCAATTCGTAGTGCAAGTATTTGATTAAGTCAGTAAGTAATTTAGTCAATTTAGGTATTCAATTTTGTCATAACTGATTATTTGTTTAAGCAAAACAGTCCTCACACAATTCTATCCAGTTAACAGAATATAGTACTTACACCATCTAATAATCAGGAGAAAATGATAAAACCAGTGACGGAGCCACAATGGGGGAAGTGGGGACAGCTGGCCCCACTCCCCCGCCCCATTCCATTTATATATATTGTATGTATAGGTTACTTGTATATACATATCACTGAAATTATGGAATTTCCGACCACCTGAAAGTGATCTTAAATCAAGTCAAAAGCCTTTATTCCGACCACTTTTGATATTCAAAAAAATCTTTATTGCTATTTCTGACCACTTTTTGCTCTTTCAGGTGGTCGAGAATTTTATGATTTTCAATAGTGATAATTAACTTACAGAGTCCGATGATGGGAGGAATGTTGGCGAGCTTAGCGTAGCTGATTCCCTGAGGGATGGCGAGGCTGGCGATGGTGATTCCGGCGAGAACATCGTACATGAAGAGATTAAGGTTGTAGTGGGGAAGCCAATCCAAAATGGGGACGAAGTACTGAAACCCCTTTATCACCCTGCGTGAAAATGGCTCGTTCTTGAATTCGCCGAAGGGATCGTCGGGGAAAAGCACCTCCTTCAGGCTTGCCCGGAGCACCGCCGGAAAGCTCCGTGGCTCGCCGAACCTCACCTTCTGCCGTGCCTGGAAAGAATTCGTCATATCTGCTTAAATCTAGCTTGTCCAGAAGAAGAGATGAAGTGTGAGTAGATATGCGAGTTTATTGCATGCATTTATAGACACAGAGTGACGCTAAAATGACAAGGATTTTGGATGGGAATTCAAACAATTAATTTAATTTTATTTTCAATCTCTCGTATGAAAAAACTAATCTGGTCAAGGTGACCTGGGGCGAACAGAATTAGTCTGAGTATTGTACGGACTTAAAGTGCCTCTTACCGTTAGAACCTGCTCAGGATATCTCGTGGTCTGACAGAAAAAAAATATTTTCTCCACTGTTATGATGACTATTAATTTTTTTTTTTTTTCTTTCAAACAAATAAATGTAGTATAAAATATTCCTATAATCAAAGGATTAAATTTGGTATATACATTTCAGCATTAACATCACTGATTAGTACGTTACACCTCATAAATCATAATATAGATACAAGGTTGTAAAAATCTTTATAATCCAATAGCATAGATATGAGATTGTTTATACTTTATAATACATATTTCAAATTCTTACGTGAGTCTTTTAAAAAAAAATTATATATAAAAAATAGTTATAATTTTTGCTTGAAAATGTTATACTAGTCGGATGGGATGTCTGCCCACTGGGACTGTGTTGCTACTTTTCCTAATCTTCTAATACACTTTTATAGAACTTTTGAGGCCACACATCATCTGCTCATTTCAAAGTGGATGACTAAATTGGCAAATCATCTTTAGCCTAAGTTAAGTTATAATGATTCACTTATTTTGGTCTCCAAAAATAATTATTTTTAGTCGATTTAATCCCTCCGGTCGTCAACAAAAGATGACCTGAGGGACTAAATCGACTAAATATAATTGTTTTCGAGAACCAAATCGATGAATAAGCAATTGAAGAACTACATTGATAGTTCGCTAATAATTGAGGGACCAAATCGTTTATTAACTCTTTAGAAAATGCTTTTTTTCCTGACATTTATTCACCATTTCAAACTTGATGGGATCTCTTAAAATCAATGTTGCATGCTAGGCCCTAGTCGGGCACCCCGGGCACCTATGCACCTCCTAGCAGTTGAGTAATTTAAGTATATCGTCTCCATTTTTTTTCCACTTTTCCCACCTAGGGCTATGAGTTGTTAGACTATTATAATCCTACAAACTAGTCAACCACTACTGGAAATTATGGAATTTCCGACCACGTGAAAGTGATCTTAAATCAAGTTGAAACCAAAAAGTGGTCGGAAATAGCAACAAAGGTTTTTCTGGATACCAAAAGTGGTCGGAACAAGACTTTCGACTTGATTTAAAATCACTTTCAGGTGGTCGAAAATTCCATAGTTTTCAGTAGTGAACTACATACTTTAAATTCCATAGTTTTCAGTAGTGAACTACATACTTTAGATGATTAGTTAAGTACATGGCTGGAGAAATATAGAAGAGGAGCAACCGAGCAGGCAAAAAATATGACTTGGCTGAGTTTGACGCCGACTCAGCCTAGTTGGACATCAACTAGGTAGAGTTAGGTGCCCAACTTCGCGCCTAATCTTAGTCGGCCAGACAACTAAAAATCGCCTAGGGCTGAAATCATCATAGCCCAGGGGTGTCTAACGCTTAGTCGATGTAGGTGGACTTTATTATAACTTTTTAACCGAATACAAGATCAAATCTCCTTAAAATGAGAAGGATGCTTAATGCAGTAAAAATATGAGGGATGAAGAATAGGATTGCTCAAATTATATTTATCACAGTATTCTAAGCTATAATTTGTCAAACATAACATCTATAATATTATATTCATCATTTCAAATGCAAAAAAATAAAAATAAAAAAATAATAAAATAATAAAAAAAAAGTCTCCAACAAAACTATGAGGATGTCATTTTGCAAAATATAATAATAATAATAATAATAATAATAATAATAATAATAATAATAATAATAATAATAATAATGATACAGATATAGAGACACAAACAATATACAAAACACTAATACAATATATACAACATATACAAATAGAGACCAGATTTCTTACCGAATTGTTATTGATCAATCTTCAAGTTTCCCCAGTAGTGAAGCGGAGTCGCTTCAAGGTGAATGTAAATTTTTATGAACTGAATAGAAAAAGTAGCAAAAGGTTTACAAAAACAAATGTATTTGTATACAAATTTTAAAAAGACAAAAATGGAAAAATTCTTCAATCACTTAGATTCCCAGACAACTTGAAAAGTGGGTTATGTTCAATGGATCAATGTAGATATGATCAATGGAGATTCCGGTGAAATTGAATAGAGGATATATAGATTCAATTCTGGGAATTTTTTAAATAAAAAAGGTAAAACTAGATAAAAGATTTATTTATTTTTTAGAAGGAAAACCGATAAAGATGGAAAGTGATTACAGATCAGTTGTTATATATGAGGAAGAAACAGGAAAACCTAATTAGGGAATAGAAGCAATAAATTTTAGTGTATTTTTAATTTTTAATTTTTTTTTAAATTTTTTGTTGTATTTTTAAAATAATAACTGATTTTATTTTAATTTTTTTAAGCAACAACTGAATATATGTTTTAGAATGTATGGAAGATGTAAAAATGGGAAAGCCTAATTAAATTCCTAGTAAAACGCATTGTAAAAATTTGCCCCACAATTGCTACTGAAAATATGTTTTGAATTTTGGGATTTTAACTACTCCCTTCTCTCACAATTCTAGGATTTTCAACTACTGCCTTGACCATTTCTTGCATTATTCCCTTTGCCAGTTGCCACCTTTATTTTCTATTTATATTTTTTTTCCTGAAAACAATGAATATAATATAATTTAATTAAAATAATGGTCGAGCGGTATAACTGTGGCTCTCCCAAATGGGAGATCACATGTTCAAAATCCAGTGAAAACATTGACTGTTTGTGTTTCAGTAGATATAAACAGATTCTATAATATAATAGAGTCAGAAGTAATAATAATAAAAAAAAAAGAGTAAAAGTAGTGTCTATCAATGAAATGAAAATTTATATATTATGAATGGAAAAGGCAGATAAATTATCATTATGAACGTGCCAGTTTAGTCATTCTAAGAAGGACAAATGATTTTTTTTTAATGATTATTTTAGTGTTTGAGCCGAATAATATATAGGGGTTGAAATGAAAATACCAATCCTGTAAATAATGTGGATTTATTTAAGCCTTTCATTTATATTGATCTTGTGGACCATGTTTATTTATATATATGTTAATTCTTTTAATTATAAAATACTCAAAAAGTATAGCATAGATTTTTTTTTTTAAATTTATATAACTGCAAAAAATATAATATAAAATAATATTTATTAAAAACATTTGTTAAAAATAAAAAACATTTTTTAGTAATATGTGCATGTTTATTTTTCTTTAAGTACCCACTGTAATATATGTATGTTTAATTTTCTATATGACCAGAAAAATTTATCATTAATTTTAATAAAATGAAGTCGTTTTATTATGATTACTATATGGTAATTAAGGAGTATATATTATTCTTAATTAATATTATGCTAATTATAACGTCTATGTAATATGAATAATTATGATAATTAAGGAGTATATATTATTCTTAATAAAATAATATGTGTATATTTAATTTTCTTTAATTATGTCTGTAATAAGTGTACCATTAATTTCCTTAATTGGTTAAATAAAATCTATATTAAGAAAGTATCAAAAACAGTTTAATAATAAAAGTATAACGTGTGAATTAATTTCTTAATTATCATAATTATTAAGATTTTATTCAAAAATAACCATTAACATAATTTTATGTGTAATAATATGTGAATTTGAATAATTATCATAATTTTTGTAATTTCCTTTAATTATGGACGTAATATGTGTATTATCAATTTCCTTAACAGGGCGTTTGGTTGGAGGGGGGGAATTATGTGGGAAAGGAATTGTAATTCTATGGGAGTTGAATTACTAGGAATAAAGTGGGAATTTAAATTTCAGTGTTTGGTTGACAGTAATAGAATTACTGGGAATTTCAATTCCAATGTTTGGTATACATTGGAATTGAAAGGGAATAAGTAGTATAAAGTAAAAAATGTCCATTATTGTTGTTAGACATTAATTTTAAGTTAAAAAGGAAGGGGTAATTTTGACTCATCACTATCATTTTTTCCAGGAATTAAAATACCAGAGGGGGACATGGGATTTTAATTCCATGAAAATGAGGGAATTACAATTCCATGGAATTGCAATTCCCTCCAACCAAACTACGGAATTTAATGGCCTTTGGAATTAGGTGGGAATTAAGTGGGAAGGGAATTTAAAATCCCTCCAACCAAACACCCTGTAACTGATTAGATAAAATTTATATTACGGAAGTATTACAATTTCCTTAACTGATTAGATAAAATTTATATTACGGAAAGTATTAATTTCTTAATTGCCATAATTTTTAAGATTTTATTCAAAAGTAATCAAAAGAAGTGCACAGGTATTTGATATTATTTGAACTAAAAAATATTTAAAATCGTCGTAAGAAGGGATTCTCTATGTTTGGAAAATTATGCTGTGCAATCGTGTGCACCATGCATGGTGCACACGGTTACAAAAACGGCGTCGTTTTACTTAAAAAAAATCATTTTTGATTGCCGTTATTTTCGTAAACATATGTTCATAATTTTATAATTTCACATTCTGAATGTATAGTTATGAAATTATGGATGTGTAGTTATGCAATTCTGAATGCATAGTTATAAAGTTGTGGATGTGTAGTTATGTATGCAATTCTGAATGTATAGTTATGAAGTTATGGATGTGTAGTTATGCAATTCTGAATGTATAGTTATGAAGTTATGGATGTGTAGTTATGCAATTCTGAATGTATAGTTATGAAGTTATGGGTGTATAGTTCAAATTATGCACAATATAACGCCGTTAACGGCAATCAAAACTGAATTTTTTTTAAGTTGTACGTCAAAACGATGTCGTTTTTGCAACCGTGTGCACCATGCATGGTGCACACGGTTGCACAACATAACGCTCCTCTATGTTTAATTACCATAATAAATTTAC